TTACAAATGTTCTACCATATGGGGCTATACAAGTGAGCAATGAGAATAAGGGTACCTTCACTGTCAATGGGCAAAAGTTGAAACACTACTGGGGCGGTGACTTCTCTAAACAAAAGTCAACCGTTCAACTCGAGACACCAGAATGAAGCAGCCGCAGAAAAGTCGAGCTATCGACTATAACTTAGCGCTGGGTAGGAGGCAACCCACTGTATCCTTTTTATTTGTTTATTTACTTTATTATGTTTTCTGCATTAACTTAGGAAGTTTATTTTCACATTCATCTAGTATTTCATTATGTGGTCATCAATCATCTAGGCATTTCAAAGAGTCCAAGCACTGTGCACACGAGTCATTAAGAATCACACACAAGTTCGGGTTGATTCACGTTGTTTTCGGTAGTTGAGTGTGGAATTCACGTATTTCGAGGAATATTATGTTTTCTAAATTTCACATGTCAAGATTTTAAAAATATATTTCTGAAAAATTTGGGGGCGTTGAGAGTTGTTTTTTAAAAAAAAAAATTGGACAAAAATGGCATTTTTTTTTAATTTCCAAAAAAAAAAAATTTGTGTGTCTATGCGATCGCATAGACATGGTGTCTATGTGACCGCATAGACACCAACCGAACGCAGAAGTTGTAATACCATTATAACTATGCGACCGCATAGATTTTAACTATGCGGTCGCATAGACCAAAAACGGCGTGGAATCAAATTTTTAGGTTTAAAATCGATTTTTCCCAAACCCTCTCTCGCCCAAATCCATCTTAGATCAGATTTTTGCACGTAATAACACTTCAATCACCTACATTACACAAGACTCTTGAGGTTGGAGAACACATCATTTTGAAGGTATGCCTTTGGACTATATCCCTCTTTGTACTCGTTTTTTTTAGTGTTTTCGAATTGATTTTTTTACATTTTGGGGAGATTGGGGTGTTGATGGGTGATGGAGTGTATTGTTTGAATTCAATTGTGTCTTGGGGTAATTCGAATTTTTGAGTTATTAAGTTTTATATGGATTTCTTAGGAATGCATGCAATGTGTTTGATAAATTGCCAAATTGATGATTTTTGGGTATTTTGGTATCTTTTGCCTTCAATTCATTTGATTGATGGGTGTATATGCGCGTGGTGATTGAATTTTGAATGGGGAACTATGTGAACTAGTAAATTTTTTGCTAGTATATGAATGTCTCACAACGCATACAACATGTTCGATAAAATACCCCTCTTGGTACTCTAATACATTTATGAACATCTAGCATGGCATTTGACTATTCGATGAATGGAATAACTCGTTGTGACGTATTACAAACAATGTGACTTAGACGACATCAACACACACATGCACAAAAATAGCTAAGTCATAGCATGCCCACAGCACCCTCCGTCCCTTATTTTACACTACTATTTGACACACCAAACGACCTCTGATTGAGCTGAAATTTGGGTATGTGCTAGACCTCATTGCATACTTCCATATGCCCGGAGGTTGCCGGGGACAATCTTGATAATTCTCGATGATACCCGGGGCCGAAGGTGTACACTCAACCATGACTCCAACCCTTTAACTATGAGCATATTATCCCAAAATTTCCTTATATTTTCATGTGGACTATACATTTATACTACTCTAATCATCCTACATTGTTCATTATACCATGGTAGTATACATGCTTATCAAAACAGGTTTGGGGGATTTGTGCTTTACGTGCCTTTCATTTCATGCGATTTCTCGCTATATATCAAGATGTCTAATGCTAGCTATTTTCCAACTTTGCAGGATGCCGCCAAAACGAACTTCTAAAGGAAAGGAGAAGGTCGGCTCATCACCCGGCACAGCACGCACTCGTGTGCTTGAAGGAGGTATACAAAGATTTTTGACTGCCGAGGCAGCAGCCCGTTATGAAAACATAGTGAGTCGATGGACAATTACACCAGAACGGGCTGTTAAATTGGAAGACTTTCCTGGTTTCGAGCTGACTACTTTGGTGCAGAACTGTGGTTGGAATAAAATAGTGGAGCAGCTACATCGGAGTTATGAATTGTTGGTGGGGAAATTTTACGCCAATTTCAATACAGAAATTGACACACCAGGGTCCGATCACCTACATCAGACTTGGGTCCGGGGAAAATGGATCACATTCTCACCCGAAATTATTCAAGACTACTACCAGCTCACGTGGGAAAACATAACGCCTGTACCAAGTGACTTCAATTGGCCTGAAGTGGCGGAGATCTTATTGGGGCGACAGAATGCATGGCCACTTCCCACTACTGAGTGGCATCAGATTGAGCTTACACCGTCTATAGCAATCTTGTGGCTGTTTATGTGCCACAACATTGAGCCTACCTCTCACAGGACCACATTCACAGATCCCACAGCTGGATTCCTTTATCACTTGGTGCGAGGTAATAAGGTTGATCTTACCACTCTTTGCTATGATCAGATACATCATGTGGGTACTTTGGGAGATAGACACAACTCAATGATCTTCCCAAGCCTCATCTCTGGAATCTGCATAGCTGCTGGTATAAACATTGTATCCGGGGAGGTGGCTGCCAAACCCAGCCCCACCATAAAGCGCAGTACTTTGGAGGCCCAAGACAGAGCCAGGTTAAAGCATTGGGAGAAGCAAGAAATTGAGAGGTGCAGACAGTGGGAAGAGCAAGGTCACGAGCAAGCCGAGCAAGAAATGCCTCAAGCTCCTCCATCACAGGCTGAGTTAAATGCATAGTTGTGGCGCCAGATTTTCACCACCACCACCACAGGGATCAGCCGAGACGTGCAGAGTCTCTAGCAGGCTATGGGAACTTTGACGACTGAGATGCATACAACCCACCGTGACATCCGCATTTCCACTGATATGTCACGTGCTGCTCACCAGGATGCCCAGGCAGCTAGGAGGGAGATGGACACTATGAACGGTCGACTCAGTGTGTATGTGGGCAGGGTGGATGGCATCCAGATGAGGGTAAATGAAACTTGGGAGCGTTTGGGCCGGTTGGAGACACGTGTTGAGGGAATCCACGATGAAATGACACAGCAGTCAGCACTGATGAGAGAGATCTTGGCGCGTCTACCTCCACCTCCGGCTGATGATACTGCAGATCTAGCTTCCCATCGCAGTCCCCGTTTTGATCAGGGGAGTATCGTTTGCCTCATTTGTATTCATTTTCCTTAAATTCTGCCTTCTAAACTTATTTTTTCACATTGTGGTCAATGTCTTGTATAAGTTTGGGGGATGGTGGCATAATTTGATTAAGACATTCGGCATGTAACTAATTGCATTTCCACAATCTAGATTTATTTTAACTAATTGCTGCATGAGACATGCTTGTGAGTGAATATTGATTATGCTTATGTATTCTTGTGTGAGCTTAATCGCCTTGCCGGCTATGATGTTACTATTGGATTGGTACATTTCAGAACTTTGGGTCGGTGCTAATTAGGCTAACCTATACTTGTTGATGCAATACTTGACATTCTTTATGCACGTTATTCATGCTTGATATGTTAGGTAAGTGATTGGGGTTTTGAGCAATAAGTAAGAGATAGTTATAACCCTCTATTGAATGAACCCGTAAAATGCCTTAAGACAGTTTGGTGATAGTTGAGTTATTATAGGAGAACATTGAAACGAGTAAGGCTCCGTGCATGAATTATTGTGTGGATTGCCTAGACCAGTGGGATGAAGAGTAGGTGAAAATCTTAAATTGAGGGTTAGTTTTGGATACCAAATGTCTAGAAAAATAAGGGCATGAACTTAATTTGTGAGAATAAGACACTTCTTTTTCAGCCTTTATGACTCGAGCAAGTAAGCCTGTAAGGATATTTCAAAATCTGGTGCCCTAAGGTCAACTGATCTGGGAATCACCGGCCTAAAACTCGATACATGGGTCATATAGAAAGCAAGAAGTAAAGAAGTTAATAAAAAGTCATCTGATCGAGCCTTTAAAACCTAATGAATAAGCCTGTAAGGGTCTAAAACTTGGTGCCCTAAAACCAACTGGTTTGGGAGTCACCGGCCTAAAACTCGTTACATGGGTTATATAGAAAGCAAATGAAAAGATGATAAAAAAAAAGAGAGAAAAGTGAGAAAAACAAAAAGAGACAATAACAAGAAGAAAAGCTCTTGGACAATTGGTGGAAGAAACTATACCTTTGAGGCGAGGCAAGTAACCTAGTTTAGTCTTGAGTGTCGAAGCAATCAAAACTAGGAGAGCCTTCACTTGTTGATGTGTGAACTTGTGATAGTGAAATTAATCCAAACTACGAGAGGGTGAGAACTAAAGCTAGGTAAACTCATAATTTTTAAACACAACCCCGAGATAATTGAGTGAAAAGAATAAGTTTGGGCGATTGTGTATCTCTCGAGCGAGTAAAGAGACATTTGACCACTTGGGGTCGGGACTCAAACTCATCATGAACTTGATATGTTAGCATGAATCCACACACACACACGTCAAGTATGCACTTAACAGGTGAAGGTTGATGTCATCTTGCACTGATAAATTTTCATAAAATCAATTACTTAGTCCAATCCTGAGCCAAGGCAAGGTGTTAAGCCATGTTTGTTCAGAATTATATCACTATCTTGTTTGAGGACAAACAATAGTTCAAGTTTGGGGGGTTTGATAAGTGTGTTTTTGCACACTTATTTACATCAAAAACATGACTTAAATACAAATAAAATGATTTAATTGCTACCTAACTTTGTCAAATTCATGCAATGTAGAAAATTCTATGGAAATAGTGGAATTCAGGAGAAAAGAGCCGAAAAAGGACCAAATTGAAGCAAAGAGAAAATTCAGGGACCAAATTGCAATTATCTGAAAGTTGATCCGATGAACACATCAAGCAATTGATCAAGCCAAGCAACAATTGGAAGTTATAAGGGACCATTGGAGCAACTAGGAACAAGAGATGAGGTCAAGGAGTGAAGGAATGAAAATTGAGGACCAAAAATGACTCAAACAAGAAAGTGGCTATACTATGCGGTCGCATAGTATAAAACCTATGCGACCGCGAGTGAACCTCCAGGGATTAAAAAGGGCGTTTTCCTTAAACCTATGCGGTCGCATAGGTATAAATTTTCCGGAATTTTGCACTTTCCTTATATGATTACTACTCCTTTGGTAACCTAATTTGGACTGGTTTAAATAGCAACAAGACGTCCAGAAGCCGCACGAACGACTTGGGAGGCAAAAGCATTCATCTTGGGGTGGAATTGAAGGCAAGAACAAGCAATTGATGCGAGATTTACGAGATTTCTTCAACCTTTGATAACCCGGTGATGTATTTTATTCATATTTTGTTAGTTTTCGTTATTTTTATCATGATAGGCTAGATTTTTGCAACTAGGTGATTGATGAACCATGTAATTTTTATTAAACTTTCTATTTCATGATTTTGAATTATTAGTTTGATGGATATTTGAATGGATTATATTGATTTACTTATTTCCATAATTAATGTGCACTTGATTTGTGTGAACTTGGTGGTTTAATTCTGAATTTAAGAAAATTAGATTAGACTCGACATATATAATTCATCATAGGGTCCGATAGGGGATAGAAATATACCCCTATGCCCTATGTAAATCTTTAATTGCTCACAAAAAGATTATATGCGTTCTTGTAAAATTGCATCCGTCATAAAGATATAGGCTGATGATTTATGATAATAGATTCAATACATCTCGAGAGAGAGTATTGAATAGATTTAGGAGCATTGATTTATCAAATTCTTATTGAATTATCAAAATTGTGAAATTAGGGTTTAATTGGTAATTATTTGGGGATTCGTGATCCTAGTGCATTTGTTTTACATAGATTTTCATAAATTGACAATACATTTCATCGATTTTTCATAACATTTCGTAATTGAGTCATTAGTTAAGTGAATTTAAGTAATTAGGGTTTGATTTGAAATTAGGGTTTTTCAATTTGGGGATTTTCCCCAATTTAGGGTTTGATTTGAAATTAGGGTTTTTCAATTTGGGGATTTCTTCCAAAATTAGGGTTTTTGATTCCAAAATCCATTTCAACTTAATTAGTTTCGGTTAAGGCTAAAATAAGTAAAATTGAATTAACCAATCTCTGTGGGACAATATTCGGACTCAATTGATCCACTTTATTACTTGTTAACGAACCGTGCACTTGCGGTAATTTAAATCGAAAAATATATTTCGCGAACAGTGACTTAACATTGGTACTGTTAGATGAATTGTTGGAGTAAGGAGAACCATTGGAGCCCTTTGGTTTTGGGGGTTGGTTCCGATTGTTAGTGTAAAACGTGATTGCATGCTTATAACCGAGTTGAAGGAGTGATACTTACTTGAAATCACAAAATCGAGGTTGAATTACTTGCTTTTGATTTGCTTGTTTTCCACACCATCTTATACCTACTTCTTGATCTGAAATTCAACCATAAAGGAAGGAATTTGATAGCCACAATCTAAGAACCGAATTTGAGATGTTATTATTCCAAAATCAAGCCACAACACTCATGTTGTTTTCTCTCATTCTGAAAATCTGAGTTTCACCATGTGTATTTTTAGTTTTTGGTGGAAAAGAAGTTATATGGAAGAAGTTGATTGAAGGAGTTTTAAGTTTCAAATTTAATTTCCAACTCCTCCCTCCAAAATACATCTCCATACAAACCGGTTCGGGTCAACCCACATGGGCGACCCTTTTTTCTTCCAATATCTCTCACTCGCACATGATAGGCTTGACCTGATTATAATATAATTCAATTTTATTAATTTCAGCATCTCCAAGTTCATACTAGTAAATGAATCGTACAACCAGTGAGTTAATTTAAGAGCACACAACATTATACACCTGTTAGAGATATATAGTAGCTTTAGAAGATGAATTATATTTCTCGCTATATACCAGACATACTGTGTAACATCAGTTCGAGTATTTCTGACCCCCTCAATTTATTTTAGAATATACTCAACTTTCTCATTTACATTGTATTCAAAATTGTATCACAAAACTCAAATAATTAACACAATTGTCCGACCGGTGAATACAAGCTGAGATGTTAGTTAAATAGTCTTCCTTTCCAACTTGAATCCCTTCATTTCAAGTGAGCTGCTTTCCTATACATGTCCAATCAAATCGAATCAACCATAGTTATTGGTAACATGCTAAAGTAGCAACAATGAAATAAAATTCTGAGAATCAATCAAAAGTCATAGGGGTATATAAGTGAGGTCAAATGCGACTCAGAGACTCACACAATGAAGAAGTAGGGATCAATTCTTTCATTTCTTATTGGTCATTAAAGCACACATGGTATGAAACACATGTTACGATTTTTTTCCCTTTGTTAGAGCGTATATCCAATCTTGCAAATTAAATACATCATATAGATCATAGTTTAGATATTCCTCGATATCTAACCTGAGTTCTCCTCATATTTATTCCTCTTGGTAATCTCAAATCGAGAACTCGATCTGGCTATAAAACAGGTCTAATAGGTAAAAAAACCACACCGATTACTTGTTGTAATCTCATATTAATATCTCATCAAGGCGACTGGATCATATACACAATGTGATCACCGTGCCCATCTCAGCACACCTCAAAGTGTCTAGGCGATTGTTCATGTGAGTGAACCAATCTCAACCTATTTGACATACTTTATGTATGCATATGCAATGGTAATCTAAAAATCACAATAAAAGATTACTCTTAACATATGAACTCAAAACATTATTCATTAATAGACATATATGAAAAAAAGTTTACATAGTGTACAATTCAAATTCTACGCAATTCCAAAGATTTAACATGAGTCATAAAAATGTCTCCAGGGATAGGTTCTCTAAGCGGAACAGCTACCATTTTGTACGTAGAAATATAATGCAAACTCACTTCCTTTTGCCTTTGATGTCTCTTAAAAAATTATATTTTGTATCAATGTGTTTGGTTCTAATGTGATACTTGGGATCCTTGATATATGCAATAGCTATCTGACTATCATAGCATATCAATATAGGTCCTACATCATCACTAACGACTTTTAGATGTTGTAAGAATACCGCTGAAGCACATGCTACGAATTCTGCTTCTATTGTAGATAAGAAAATACATGTTTGTTTATTGCTACTCCAAGAGATAGCGCCATTATTAAGTAAGAATACATATCCTGAAGTTGATTTACGCTCGTCTAGATCTCTATCTCCACTCCAATCAGTATCTGTGTATCCTTTTAAGCACAAATCATTTCCTTGATAGCATAGAAAGTAATTAGCAATATTCTTCAGGTATCTCAATATCTTTTTAGCAGCTTTCCAATGCTCTCTTCCAGGATTAGATTGATACCTACTGACCAGACCTACGGTATAACAAATGTCAGAATGAGTACACATCATAGCATACATAAGCTCCCTATGGCACTGGAGTATGGAACTCTGGACATTTCTTCCTTTCTCTAGAGAGTTTTAGGACACATACAAAGACTTAGAGTTTCGCCTTTTGATACAGAAGTGTCAATGGGTTGCAATTCTCCATTTTGAAACGTTCAAGAATTTTCTTTATATATGGCTCTTGTGACAGAGCAAAAAACCTCTTTGAATGATCTCTATAGATTTTAACGCCTAATATGTAATCTGCTTCACTCATATCCTTCCTTTCAAAATTTGAGCACATACATTTTTTAATGGTTTTAATATACTCTTTATCATTCCCAACCAATAAGATATCATCTATGTAGAGAGATAATATCTCATTGGACCTTTTCAAATAAATATAATGATCTTCATCCTTCATAACAAAATTATATGAGATAACTGCTCTGTCAAATCTCAAGTACCACTATATAGAAGACTGCTTTAGGCCATAGATTGATCTATTTAATTTACAAATTTTATTCTCTTGACCTGTTTTAATGAAATCTCCTGGTTATAACATGTAGATTTCTTCATCCAATTCTCTATTGAGAAATGCAATCTTCACGTCCATTTCATGCAATTCTAAATCTAAAGTGCCACAATAGCTAAGAGTAGGCGAATTGAAGTAAATCTCACTACCGGTGAAAAAGTCTCTTCATAATCTATTCCCCCTATTAAGTATAACCCCTTTCCACCCAGCGAGCCTGATACCTCTCTTTAGTCCTATTAGCTTTTTGATTTATTTTGAGTGCCCATTTATTCCCAATGACTTTTTAACCAGATGGAAGATCAATCAATTCCCAGACCTGATTCGATTTTATAGATCCCATCTCTTCTTCCATTGCATTATTCCATTTTTCCTTTGTAGGACATAAGAGAGCTTCTTGTACTGAACTTGGTTCTTCACCATCTTCAGGAAATATTAGGAAAATTTGCTCTTCAATCTTGAAATGATGTTTAAGCGTATTTTTTCCAGTACTCTTACGAAGTGAAAGCTCCGATGTGACCTTGTTACTTGGAGTTGGAGATAAATTTCTCCCACTTGAATCGACAGGTGGAAGTGCTTCCTCTTACACCTCAGTTGATCCATCAAGTATAACTCTATCATCTAATTCATACAAAGGTTCTCCGTTTTTAATTTCTCCTCTACTAGGAAAATTAGTCTCAAGAAATGTCACAACACGTGACACTATCTCAGTTATAGTTCCGTCTTGATTTTCATCTATGAACACGTATCCTTTGGACTGGTTTGAGTATCTTATAAAGACACACTTCTTGCCTCAAGCACCCAATATTTCAAACTTACTTGAGGAATCATGGATATAGGCAGCTGATCCCTAGGATCTAAGAGCACTTAAATTAGGGGATCTGCTTGTCTAAAGCTAATATGGTGCAGTAGGTCGAGGGACTCTATTCAGAATATAGGTCGCAATTAACGAAGCATCTCCCTCAATAGGAAATAGGTAAGGTAGCTTGCACCATCATGGGCCTCGCCATTTCTAGCAACGTTCTATTCGTCCTCTCAGCAACACTATTTTGTTGAGGTGCATTGGGAATAGTTAACTGCCTAATGATTCCCTTATCACATAGTTCTTTGAACTCTTCAAATAGATATTCACGCCCTCGATCATTTTTTAAGGCTTTCACCTTCCTATCTATTTGATTTTCTACCACATTAAATATCGTCTAAAGTATTCCAATGCCTCTGACTTATGAGAAATCAAATAGACATAAATATACTGCGTGAAATCGTCTATAAAAGTAATGAAATAGGAGGCTCCATGTCTTGCCTCACATTCATCGAGCCACATATATCTGAATGGACTAACTACAATAGAAGTTCGGCTCTCAAGGCTTTACCGAATGGTTTTTGTGTTGTTTTTTAGATTAGCTAATGTTCACAAGTAGGTAATGAAACCTTAGAGATTGAACCTAGCAAGCCTTCTTTGGAAAACTTATTTATTCTCTCTTGTCCAATACGTCCTAATCTAGCATGCCATACAAATGTATCAACGTTCAAATCTTAGAAAAATAATAGGATATATTCATAGAAAAATAACG